TTGGATGACGATCCTGAGCCAATAGCGCTCCTCAACCAATAAGAAGACGAAGAGGAAGCAGAGGCCCAGAGCACGACAAAAAACGACAACGAAGAAGAAGCAGAGAATGACGAAGATGAGCCACCAGCGGAACATCACGGGGAGTTATCCCTACTCCAACATCATGAAGTACCGTCAACAAGCTCGCGGCCAGCCATACCAGCGGATTCCGCGTGGAATCGTGATCTGTCTAGGAAGCAGCTAGTCGCCTCGATAGCTCAGAATCCTCCCGCCACTTCCGCCGGTCTCGCTCCCATCCCCCTCCTCTACAGCCCCCTCCGCGGTTTAACCCCATCCTCCTCCCCGCTCGATCGCTCCGTCCATGAGCTTTCTTTCACCACCCTCTTGATTACCTTTCGTTCTCCCCGCTTTCCCACGTCAAATCCCCCTCCGACTATCACATATTCGCCAGCCAGCTTTTCTATCGCCACTGTTCTGGTCGCTTGTTGTGTGAATTCCACCCCTATGCCGCTCCCACATTTCTCCTCAACCTCCTCCTCTCCAGTATCGCATGGAGGTAATACAACCATGTGGAGTTGTACTGCATCATCACCGGGACATTCCCCGCTAGGGAAGATTATGAGTCTTTGAGCGATAACACCCTTCCCACAATCCTCACTCTCTACGCCAAATACCTTGCTTCCCTCCCCTGACCCAACCATTGATTCCCCTATGTACACAAGATCGTCCATTTCGTTGATCTCGGTGACAAACCCCGCGATTACTTCCCCCCCCCTCTCGCTACAATGGCCTCAACTGTAGCGGACCCACCAGGTGTGGTGCTCCGCTAGGGATGAAGATGGAGATGGAGGATGAGGGAGGAGCGAGATAGCACAGCGCAACTCCCACGCAGGACTCCAGCGCACGTACTCCAAACTGTGCGAGTGTAGAATGCTCTCGAAAACAGACAATGGCTGGGGTATACCCCAGTGGACTGACGAGACTAGATTGGGCTGGCTGGTACCGACAGAGGTACCGGCCTGGCCTGGACTGCCCCGAATAAAACATAGGCCTGTGAGAACAGGCCAAGGGGTTGGTCTCACAGGCCAACCAGAGATCCGCTACACGATCCTCGGCCTGTGATGGATCGCCTAGATACAAGCACACTTCCGCCAAGAAGCGGAACTCTACCAAAGAAAAAGAAAACCTGAGTAGTCTAGGATGCAGAGCGAGCTCCATGCCGAGTCCATGGAATGCAACCTAGGATATAAAATGTCACAAAACAGCAATATCACAGCTAACAGCCTAAGTAAAAGCAGAAGCAACTAACTAGCATACATGTCCTAGGAAAGCAGAAGAAACTAACTAGCATACGTGTCTTAGGAAAGCAGAAAGTAGTGACAACTAGATCCTAGAATGTTGGAGGTAGTAGCCTCAGTCTGGGAACAACTGACTAGTGTATAAGTCCTAAGAACAACGAAATAGAACAGCTAAATCCTAGAAATGTCAGAGGCAGTAGCCTCAGTCTGAGAGCAACAAGCAACAACAAGTCAACCATATGTCACAAGAGGAGTGTGTCGCAAACCAAAGGGTGGGATGGTCTCTGAGGGTGGCGAATGCAGCCTAGGGGGCGATAACTCCTAAGGGCATCCACACATAGTGACCGGGGGAACACATGTTATCAGGCTCAATGAGGGTAGGGAACTGGGAGCGAACAGAACCAATGACCCTAACAGATAGACCATCAGGGCAGGTAATGCTCGGCTAAAGGGGTGCCTGCTATGGAGGGTCGACCATGCAAGGGAACAAGGGACCCTGGTATATTGGGCGCACCTAGATGAAGCATGCGAAGCTGCCTAACTCGGGTGTGAGGGCTGGCAGAGGGTAGAAAGGTGATGGGTAAGAGAATCATGCAAATGACTCCTAAAGTGAGGGAAGTCGGAGCTAGATCCGTAAGATGGGAAGCCAGGGCAACGCTACGGTCTTGATGCCTATGCGTATACCAAGGAAGAGCCCAACTGAGAGGAACCCGGCTAAAGGGAGACCATCATGCGACACAACAAGGGTACTGCACAGGGTAAAGTGGTATGACGTCTGAAGTAGGCAGAGCTGATCGTGACGGAGTCCATGAAGCTGCCGATGACGTCCACGATGAGAAGTCCGGAATGTCGTCGAGGAAGAGCCGCAATGTCGACGAGCTGGAGTAGCAAAACTGGAGTGGATGAAGTATTGAGAAGTCAAAGACGTGGGAAGGTAAGTCAGAGTCAATCGTCGTATCGAGCAGGGCGACGAGGAGTGCGCTGTGGACGCTCAGGAGCATCCGGCTGCTGCTGAAGGTCTGCCTCAGATGGGTCAGTGGGCTAAGGAGGAGCAGTGAACCCAGCATGACGAGCACAGTCATAGGCACGCACCAACATGCGACCGTGCTGCAAGTGCTCGAGGGGCTCCCAGGTGGCCTCCTCATCAGGGTAACCCTTCCAACGTACGAGATACTCGACGTGGGGAGGGTTGTCGTCGGTGACTCGGCGACCAATGATGTCTGAAACGAGGAACTCCTCGTGGCCGTCCACCGTGATGGGTGAAGGGCGCTCGTATGGTCGTCCAACGAAACGCTCAGACGGTCTGCGGTAAGGACGCAGTAACGAGACATGGTAGACATCGTCCACACGAGCCTGGCGTAGGTAGTCGGGCAGCTTCACACGAAAGCTGACCGGGCTAGATACCGTATCAGAACCGATGGCCTGGAGGATGTGGCATGGTCCAAAGAAGCGACGCCGAAACTTGCGAAGCGTGTCCGCTTCGAGCTGTAAGTGGCGGGCGTCGATAAGCACATCATCACCGACTTTGAATGGATGATCCATCCTCGATCGGTTCGCACGTGCGGCCATGCGAGTCTGGGAAGTGGCTATGTGCTCATGTGCGGTCTTCATGATCGACGTCATGTGTGCAACCCAATCATCCAGCGCGGGACAACTCGTGTCGGGGTGCATCTGTGACGGTCGAAGGAAGTCCACGGGAATATGAGGGTGACAACCGAGGTCGCAATAGTAAGGCGACATCCCCGTGGTTGGCGAGACGGCCTGGTTGTAGGTTATCTCCGCGTGGGCAAGATGAAGATCCCACTGCTGGTCGTCATGAACAATCTTTCGGAGAATATCTCCGAGAATCATGTTCGTGATCTCGGTCTAACCATCAGTCTGAGGATGGTAAGACGAGGAGAAGCAGAGTTGGGTGTCGTAGACCTCGTGGAGCCGTCGCCAGAATCGGTTGGTAAAGCGCGGGTCACGGTCAAATATGATGCTCAGTGGTAAGCCGTGGTCACGCACGACTCGGTCAAACACGATGTCTGCGACCTCACGTGCACTGATGGCATAGCGGCACGGAACAAAGCGTGCACGCTTCGTGAAGCGGTCGACGACGACCAGGATAKCATCATRACCGCGGGGGGYCRGAGGWCGAAGWGGACYGATAAAGTCCATCGAGATGGACTGCCAACGACCCTCAGGRATAGGAAGAGGCTGGAGCAAACCATAAGGYARGTGGTTCGCACTGTTCACCTCCTGACAGGTGGAACACTCTGCGACATAGTCCTTCACAAAGTCCTTGCGCTTCGGCCAGACGTACAGGTGGCTCACACGAGCCAACGTCTTGTGGAAGCCCATATGACCGGCGGCTGCCTGGTCATGGAACTCTGTTACTGCTCGAACACGTAGTTGTCCAGTGGAGGGAACGCAAATACGGGGCTCTCTGGTACCCTGTGAACCGTGCCAGTACACAAGACCRTTGTCCCCGAGAGAGTAGTTCGGGACGGTCTTGCCACTCCGAAGGGTCGCGTGGATGTTGCGATAGTCGGGGCAGTGGCGGTACTGAGTGCGAAACTCGTCGATCACCGAGKGGTGGACAGTGGTGACCGAGATGGAAGAGAGCTGGATCTGCTCCTGGTCGTGGTCAGGGCGCCGGGATAAGGCATCTGCGACCCGATTAGTCTCACCTTTGATGTGCTAAGTGGTGAAACTAAACTCGGATAGGTCGCTCCGCCAGCGAGCTTGTCGAGGAGTGAACTTCGGTTTTGTCAGAAAAGTTTGGACAACAGAGTTGTCCCTGCGCACTGTGAATAGTGCCCCATGCAAGTAGTGACGCCAGTGCCAAGCGGCATAAACTACTGCGAGAACCTCACGTTCATCAGCAGTGTAGTTTATCTCGGCGGGCAGGAGCTGACGGGAGTAGAAGGCTATCGGACAATCACCTGAGCGAGACTCGACAGTGCCGTCCTCGGCGATAGTAGGAGAATAGTCAATAGACAGCTCGTCAGTAGTTGGACGAGTAGGCGTCGGTTGGGAAGCAGTGGTAGGGGTAGGTGGTGGGAAACGAGGGATACGAGGATGAGAGGAATCAGGGGAGGAGGAAAAAACCTGAGAAAGCACTGCTCCTACAACAAAGTCTGACGCATCGGTGGTGAGGATAAAAGGGCGATCAAAATCGGGTAGGTGAAGAATCGGTGCACATGTCACCGCCTTCTTGAGGGTGCGGAAGGCGTCCTCGTGGAGGGGTGTTCAAGCCCAGAGTGGGTTCTTCCGGAGGAGGGTGGAGGTAAGGACGTAGGAATACCTAGAGTATCCCTGGATGAAATTACTATAGTAGCTGGTAAGGCCTAGGAAGCTACGAAGCTGCTTGGCGGATGTGGGGACGGGCCACTCCGCGATCGCAGTGATCTTCGCGTCGTCCATGTGGAGACCCTGGTCAGACACGTAGTGTCCTAAGAAATCCACTTTGTGCTGGGCAAAGCGGCACTTGCTTAGCTTGGCGTARAAGCCAYGTCTGCGCAAGCGGTCAAGGACGTCGCGGAGGTGTCTAAGGTGCTCCTCAAGGGTACGACTGTAGACCAGGATATCGTCGAGGTAGACGAGAACGTACTGCTCCAGGATATCCCTGAAGATGTCGTTCATCGCCCTCTGGAAGGTAGCGGGTGCGTTGGTGAGGCCGAATGACATCACCGTAAACTCGTAGTGGCCGAAGCGCGATCGGAACGCTGTCTTTGGCTGGTCCGCGCAGCGACGCAGATCTGATGGTAACCGCTATGAAGATCAATCTTCGTAAAGAAGCGGTTGCCAGCTAGGCGATCGAACAACTCATCGGAATGAGGCATGGGGTAGCTGTTCTTAACCGTGTAGCGGTTGAGACCGCGATAGTCGATGCAGAGACGGAGAGTTCCATCCGCTTTGCGAGCAAAGAGGACGGGTGCACCCCACAGGGAGTTGCTGGGTTTAATGAAACCCAGTCTCAGGAGCTCCTCAAGTTGACGCTTGAGTTCGGTGGCCTCGAGGATCGAGAGTCTGTAGGGCGCCTGGTGGTGAACACGATAGTCAGGTACAAGCTGGATGGAGTGCTCGACGTCGCGCATCGGTGGAATGCCGGCATACGAGAACGACGATGGGAAAACATCGTGGTACTCTCCAATGAGGTCACGGACTGCGGGGTCCAGGTCAGTCGTATATCGTGCGAGTTCCTCAGCGTCAGCGTGCGACGGCGGGGTGAACTCGACGGACGGCGGAGGGACGGAAGTAGAGATGGGAGTCATGGAGTCGGAAGGAGGATCTGGCTCCAGAGGGATTAGCTCGGCGTCGAGACAGGGTGGATCATACTAGTGTAAGAGATCCGTCACGTTCACCATAAAGAAGGTAACGTCGTCCTATGGGATAAAGTGGGTGAACTGCCGAGGCGAGGTGACAGTGATAGCAGGAGATGGTGTGGGCGCAGAAGGCTCCGGGGGAGGAGGATCGGGGCGTGGTGTCGCAGTGGTACCTATGAAAGGTACGCGATACGTCTGTCCACACTTCGCTTTGAGAACAAGAGTGTTGGTCGCCCAATCGGCCTCAGTGCTGCGGAACCGACGAGACCACGGAGTGCCGAGAATGAAGTCGTACCCCGTCTCCATCACATCGAAATGTGCGGAGGAGCGGTGGCGATGAGACGCCGGGGGACGATCAGTCGGCTCGAGAGTGAGGAAGAAAGGGAGGTCGGTGACTGTCTAATCGAAGAAGCGTTGGGTCTTGTCATCCCCTAGGGTAACAGAAATGGGAGTCGGAGACCCGGTTGTGGGTAAACGGGCTTCTTTCACCACACGTGGGTGAATGAAGTCACCATGAGAACCGGAATCCCATAGCGCTGAGTACACCCTCGTGGAGGTCCCCAATCGGCTGAGGAAGATCGGGAGGGTGCGATCAGGGTCAGAGAGGATGGTGAGAAGGCGACACAGTGCAGCGACATAGAGGGTGAGTCGCTCCTGACGAGCCTGGAGCATGCTCAAGTCCAGAAAAGAGGACACAACATCCTCGCGAGTCACAAGCTGCTCGCTGCAACGGGTTGAGCGAATGGCTCGACGTGTTGGTAGTCGCGGCGGGGAAGGAGGGGAGACGGTGGTCTGCGGAGGCGCAGACGGTACTGCGACAGAGGGCTGAGTACACTCTGTCGGGTCCTGCGAGACCTCAACTCCAGTAGCGAGAGGGGCAAACCGCAACGGCGATGTCGGGAAGCCGACTACTGAGGAGGGCACAAGTGTACACTGCACCGTGGCTAGGAGGCGTCACAGGGATGAGAGGCGTCGGGGGGGACTGAGCACGACGCTGGCGGGAAAGGTGAGCGTAGTGGCGGTCAAGGGCGGTGGTGTAAGGGCACCGCGAGGAGGTATGATCGTCCTAACGGCATCGCAAACACCCACGCCGGCCCAAAATAGTCGCGCGCTCCTCACCGGAAAGGACACTGCGAGGAGGGACAAAGCCCTGAGGGAGGTCCTGCTGAGGGACCTCGGGGGGCGACGTGCCAGCGTGACCGGGGCGGCTGCATGCCCAGGAAAGGGTGGAGAGGATGAGTTGAAGGCGCTCAGCCATAGGGAGAGTTGAGTCCTCCAGGTGGTGGTGGACGGCCTCGCCGAGGTCGAGGTCGTCGCTATGGTCACCCTCTGGCGACAGCGGGGCACCAGCGTCCTGCTCACCATACTCGAGCGCGCTGAAGCGGCGCGAGAAGTGGCGGCCCTGCTGCGCGGAACGGTGGGGGCGACCGCGGAAAGGGGAACGGCGCTGGGAAGTGTCGTGAGAGGAGAAGAAGGCGTAACCGGTACGCTGGGGCTGGGAGGAGGATGCGGGGTGAAGACGGACCCGCATCCGCTGATGGTCCCTGGTGGCCTCGTAAGCCTTCGGGGCCGATGTGAACTCGTACCGCCAGAGCTCGGAGCGGTACTCGAGCGGAAGGCTGGCCAAGAAACGATCGATAAGGGCAGCCTCGGGGAGGAACGCCACGTCACAAATGAGGCGGGCGTCCTGAAAGACCTGGATGTGGCGATCCAGATCGGCAGCGCCACCAGAGCCGGACCAGCGTGTAGTGACGACACACTCGAAGGCGTCAGTCACGTCATATCTGGCTCCGAAGCGATCCTCGAGGAACGCCTGGAAATCCATGAAGGTCAGAGTCCGACCCTCACGAAGGGAGTAAGCGTAGAAATCCTCCCAGGCGTCGAAAGGACCGCCACGCAGGCGCGTGGAGAGGTGACCCACCCACGTGTCGGGTGTGGCGCCCATGAGCTGGAGCGTGCGGGTGGCAGACTGCAGCCACCGAGACACGCGTATGCCTGTACCGTCATACAGAGCAATGTCTGACAAGCGGATGAGTGGTGCGCGACCGTTCTGGCGGCGAGGGGATCGGGGAGAAAAGGCCTGTGCCACGACTGAGTAAGTCGGCGCAGGTCCTGGAGAAAGGGGCGCAGCTGACTGTGCGCCGAGACCGCATGGGGAAGCGGCGGGGGCAACTACGGCAGGCTGCGAGGGAGCTGAGGTAGAAGAGGTCGCGGCAACCGCGGGAGTAGGAAGCAGGTAGAATGGGGTTGGATAGGGTGCAGGGCGAGGGAAG